CCCCCCCCCCCCCTTTTCCCTTCCTCAATTATCATTTACATACAGATTAAAACAGTTCAGACAACTTTAATTATCATCACAACAAATTGCAAATTGAATCATAACGTTAACAATGAGTATTGTAAATTCGACACCAACACCACCACCACCGCCATCGACATCAACAGCAACAGCAACAGCAATCAGCGGTATCGATAGTATTGATATTGGCAACAGCAGCAGCAGCAGCAGCAGCAGTTTTTGCAAATCAACATCGTTTCTGTAGGCAGATTGTTTGAATATAACAAATGTTTTCCACCTTTATTCCACATCAGAAGTTTTACCTTATCTCATTGGAATAAACGTCTAAGAGACATTAGGTTAATCAACCATAGTTTATTCAGATCTTTTAATACACTGATAATTGAGCATAGCTTTTGTAGCCCTTTAGCTGTGTTTGTTTGTATCTGTAAGTCTGTTGTTTACCACTGTTTACTAACATTTATTGATATCCGATCAACAGCATTCTGATAAACTATGCTACAATATTTAGCCAATAAAATAGACAAAAATAAGGAATAAAAGTAGAAAAAAAACAGTAAACTGTTAAAAATAAAATTGAATAAACTATACTTGTTGATATTTGTTTATATGTTGTAATATATGTTTACTTGATTAGTCTTAAAGAAAAAAAAAAAAGGCTGTCAAGTCAACAGTATTTTAAGTTTAAAAATTTATCCTTAAATCATACTGTAGATAAAAGAAGTAAAAAAATTTGAAAATTATAAAATTTTTCCGTCTTCTCTACAGTTTTTTCTTCACTTTCCCTTTTTTTTTTTGCCCATTTGAATATTCAACATGAAATATGACTGAAATATTTTGTGAATAAAAAGCCAAAAGAAAAAAAGCTACAACAGTAATAATTACTAATTTGAAAAAAAAGTAAAAATTTGTTATTTTATTCAATTTCTAATCTAAAACTTATAAAAAGATATCCTAAAACAGTTCAAAGAGAATAAAACTATAGACTTTAGAAGAAGTAAGAAAAAGCTTTTTTTTTTGAGCTTAACAAAAAACCAAGTTAAATATGACAATAGACAAAGAAAAGCCAAAAAAAAAAAAAATTGCAAACAAAAAGAAACCAAAGAACTAATAAAGCTTTTTCAGAACAACAATTTTTTCTTGTTGTTTTGTTTGCAAAAAATTTTGATTCTTCTGTTTTGCAGAATTCAAATTTTGTTCCG